AGTATACACATGATCGACATGGGGTGGCGTGGCAAGTGTGCCCAAGGGTTAAGGGCAGGACGGATTGCAGGGGTCCACCGGACTTGCTGCCGGACAGCGATGACTTCTGCCGAGCGTGTGACGAGCGCGAATAGGACGACTGCGCTTGACGGGCCAGAGCCGAATGACTTGAGGAGCACGTAACCGACGCGACCGTACTGCAGCGACGACACGACGACACTTACTTAGAACGACGACTGCGCGCGAGACTGGTTTTCCCGCGCTGTCACGTGCCTTCCATGCTTACTTCGCGGTAAGACCGCATGCGACTTCGAATGGAGCGCGGTTTCATCCCGGCGCATATCGTAAACCCAGGTCGTACGCAAGTCTCGACACTCCGGGCGGCGGAAGGAGATGCGCCGGATGCCGTTTAGCGACTGCGACGAAGGAGCAATTGAGGTAGTAGGGGGTACCCGCAACCCGTCGATCTATGGCATGACAAAAACAGACAGACATTTATATACTATGAAATGGCAAGGGTAAAATATGGCAAGATAATGTGATAATGATGATGACAATGTGTAAAGCTTCAAGTGACATCGAGCAAGGTGAGGCCTTAAGGGCACTCAGATAACCATTACAATAAAAAGTGGCAATAAAGCAAGAACTTCACAAAATGGGAGTAAATATACAAAAAACTACAGACAGAACTATCTACAAAAACTAGTAAACAACAAAAAACTACTACACAATAGGTAACTGAGATCGAACCTTCTGAACGTCGACAACGACTGCGCTGCACGATGATGTCGTGGAGACCAACTTGAACCGAACATCCAAACTGGAGACCAAACATCCAATCATCCAAACGTCCTATCAAACCGAACAAACCAAACGTCTAAGCGTCCAAGCGTCTAAACGTCCTATCGTCCTATCAGTCCAATCGAACCAAACGTCCATGAAGGTAGAAACGATGCGAAAAAACGTAATGCTGCTAACCTTGCGTCTTCTTTATGCGTCTTCTTAATGATGGCGATGGTAGTTCTCGTAGATCACGTACATAGCTGAGAAGAATTTGTCCACATCGGGACCGATGTCGCGAACTATGTAGTGACTGTAGGGGCACAGTGCCGGATGGTGTTCAGTAGAGTCGCAGAGACGACATGGAGTATCTCGTCTGCAGTATCGGGGCGAGTGCTTTTTCAGACAATGCAGACATTTGCCATCAGAGACTGCGGTGATGGCGCGATCTGACAGACTCTTGATGTTGGGGCAACCTGCGCTAAAGTGTGCGCCAGTGGCCTTGCAGAAGTGACAGACCAGATCGGGAGTAGGCTGCTTCTCTTGTCTCCGAGGTGACTGCTTGCACGAAGAGCTGGGAGATGGAGACTCCTTCGCTGGCTTCTGCTTGCGCTTGTCCGAGTGCGCTGATGGTGAACGGCTAACTGCAACTGCGCGTACTGTGCGAACTGTCCTTGTTGATCTACGGTCCTGAGAAGAAGAGCATACTGAGGCAGACAGTGAATCGTTAGGCGCAACCGAAACGGTTACGTGTTGTGGAGTAGATGAGTGCGCCGTAGTCGTAACAGAAGTAGATGACCGAATATGCAGTTGCGTGGAGGTGCTAGCTGGAGCAGGTTTAGGAATAGACTTCGTTTCGGGCTCCAGTGGAGTAGGTGAAATAGGCACAGGACCTCCAGTAACTGCGCGCATGCCCTCGACAGTCGGAATATCGTTGTGGTCGATTGACTCAGCTGGTAGTGACGACTCAAGTGTGATGTTGTGGAGTCGTGCAATAGCGGAATTAATCTTCTTTAACGTAAGGAATCCGGTGGCTGTCTCTGCTGTGGCAGTTGCGCAGATCAGCTTGATATAGTTGATGGTGATGTTATAGTGAGCCAGAATATCAACGAATTCCTTATTGTCCTCGATCGGGATCAGCACGTGCTGAATAATTAGATCAGACAGAGTGTTGCGATGGGTCTGAATATTGTAGAGGAGCGCAAGTAGATCTTCATACAGTTCGGCTAGTTTCTCCTCAGACTTCCAATATTCCGAGTGCGTGGAGAGATCCGTAATGAGTGACTTCGATTTCTGAATAGCCGTATGTAGGGCTTTGTACGCCTGCACGAGTAAGTAGACAGTGTACTTCTTCACAGGCGGATAATTCAGATCCGCTGGTGTGGGAGTATATGTGGCTTCTGCGATAGCATCACGGAATCCATCGTAGGTGTTGTGACGAAGGAATGCGTCAATCATGACGAAATCGCGAGCTGCTAGCTGCTCAACACTGAACGTGTGATCGTAGTTGGCAGCGAGCGTTAACGACTGCGCGATTCGTAATGAGAGACGTTGCGATGGAGGGACGCTATGATCTTCTAAAGCGTCGTCGTCCTCGTAGGAAGCAGAATCGGAATTAAAGTTGCCCTTAGCGAGCTCAGAAATAAGTTCGAATGGAGTCCGGTCCCGATAGGGGCGACGTAGCGGGGACTTGCTTCCAGATTGAATAAGTGCTGGATGTTGACGTGGACGATAAGATCGTCCTTCAGGACAGAATGGGTAGACTGCTGTAGTTCGAGAATAGTGGCCAACAGATCGGTGTCCTTAGTAGTGGACTGGCCTGACGGAATACCAACAGTGGTCACTGACTTCGACTGCTTCGGTGGAAGCGGCGTCTTGTCTTCGGATGAGATTGGCTTCGCTGACCGCTTCATGGGCTCTTGCTCGGCAGTAGACATGCAACAGCTTGTGCGCGGAAACTCGATCTGCAATGTTGGAATAGGCAAATCGGCTGACTTCCAATATTTCGGCATAATTCGCACAATACAGACAGACAACTATTGCCACAGTAAACTGTGAGCAATGAGCGAACGAGAAATGTTGTAAAAGGCAACGAAACAAAGTCGAAGTCAAAAAAAGCTTGAACGGTACGTAGGCAAGGTGCCAATGTGATGAGATGATGAAATAAATTGGCTGCGTATGGTTGCCTGATTGAGGGCAGGTACCGTGTCCGCAAGCTAGGGCGCTCTGTGCCGTGTTAAGATGAGAAGAAGCGCAGACTGTTCCGGAATCGATTGGCATCTGATCGGCTCCGTGATGGAATGGGAGCGAGGAATGATATCCAAATCGAGGAAAAAGGATCTGGTAAGGAAAGAAAATACTGGTAGGCTCAGTGGGAAGACTGGCGAGCCTTTATGTAGGAGTGGGAGGTTTTTGCCGTCCTTGATGGTTGAATGCGAGTAGGACGTAACCTCGAGGCTTGGCATGCGTCTTCTGATGGATGTTGAGGTTCCTGTGAGGCGTGAATTTCCAAAGGATATAGATGGTTAACTGACCTCTGGAGCTGATTGCCGTTAGGAAGACGAACTGTGACACTCCTAATTGGGTTCCGATGATCCCGATTGACCCGAGTTATCGCTGCTAACGACCATTGACCGCGAGGTAGCTGTTTATCGCTCAGTAAAACGACTTCGCCTACGCGTGGTATTCGAGGAGTAGACTTGCCTTGGCGGACTGTGAATGTGTGGCGCTGAGCCAAGGCGTTGAGATAATCCGCTGACCAGATGTTCCAAAAATGGTTGAGGACTTCCAGGGTAGATCCGTACCACTCGACTAAGTGTTGTTGCGAATAGTCAAGGTGGGAACCGTCCGGTAGGGGTAGTTGAAGTCGAACTTGAGGAGAAAGGAAGTCAACTGGTCGTAGGATAGTAGGTGAAGATATAGTATCGGAAATCGATGTAAGGGGCCGTGAATTCAGAACAGCTTCTATTTTGTAGAGGATGGTCTGGAGCTGCTGCAGAGGTAGTGGGTAACGGCCAACTGATTTCCTAAAAGCACTCTTAACGAGGCCTACGAGCCTCTCGTAAAATCCGCCTTTCCATAGCGACAACGGTGTGATAAACTTCCACTGGAGATGGTAAGTGGTGGAATTAGTGGAAATGAGTTGTTGCAGCACGCTGTTCGCTGCGCAAAACGTAGTGGCATTGTCGCTTAGGACATAATCCGGAGTCCCTCGCCGTGCGATGAAGCGGCGAAATGCAAGAAGGAATTCCTGGATAGAATTGTCGAGAACGAGTTTCAGGTGGATTGCCCTGGTAGCCATACAGGTGAACAAGGATATCCATACTTTGGACGTTGTAACAGACGTGTCCTTATACCGAAAGGGACCTAAGTAGTCCAACCCGATGTTCTGAAAGGGTCGTGATCGATTGACTCTTTCTGGTGGGAGACTTGGCATAGCTGGATATCTGTAGGGCAATCCATTCATCTTCTTGCAAGTGACGCAAGATCGCAATACTCTCGTCACGGTGTTCCGTATCGATGGAATAAAGTAGGAACGTCGCAATGTGGCTATCGTAGCATGCACTCCAGAGTGAAATTGTAGGAGGTGTACATGCCGAATGATAAGGCTGACAAGGGGATGTGATGGAACTAGTAGTATTGTTGCAGGTATTGGATTGGCTGCGTGTTCCATACGGTGAGGACAGCGTATAAGACCGTCCGGTTACCAATGAGCGTTAAACCGGTGTAGAGGCATTTGAGCAAGGAGTATCTCGCTTTCCCGATAGTGCTATTTCACAAGCAGCGTTTCGGCAACCTTGAGTTCCGCTGCAGAAATGTCCTTGGAGCAGGCGAGTTGACTGGAGTCAAAGGTGGATATAGGATAATTGATCTTGGCAGCTAATTGTACAATAAACTTGAGGACGTACGCAGTAGAACGAGCAAGTCTATTGTACTGACTATGGTACTGGAACCGGAATGGCGATTTGTAAAGAGGTGTATCCGATAGTGAGAGGGTCTGATACTCATCTTTCACCTCGCCGTCATTCGGTGGGAGCAAAGTGAAATCGTTCACTCCTGGCCATTGTGATGGTGGTAAACGAAGGAATGAAGGACCTGACCACCAAATGTGATCTTTGGCAAGACTGGTCGGTATTCCACGTGATGCACAATCGGCGGGATTGCCTTCCGAGTTGACATAGTAAAAGTGAACTGGAATCGAGAGGGAACGAAGACTTTCTGCAATCTTCCGTATCTCCGCAATCCTGTTATTGACAAACGTACGGAGTGGTCTTGAAGAATTGATCCAGTACAGGACTATTTGAGAGTCCGAAAAGATGTGGATAGCTGCTATTTGCCGATGGAGTTGGCTATGGACAAATCGAACAAGACGTAGGCTGACTAATGTGGCCAACAGTTCCATTCGTGGCATGGTGACCGGTTGACGTGGTCCAAGCAAGGATTTGGCCATGAGAAGATGAACTGTAACCGAAGAGCCATTTCGGCATAGGAGGTAAACACAGGAAGCGTACAAACGCTTAGAGGCATCTCCAAATACACAGAGTTCGTATTGAAAGTCCAATCGGCTTGTGGATGGCAAAACACATCTTGGAATTGGTGGAATCGGACTCTTAAGGTCTTGAACGAGCTGATTCCAACGAGCGATGTCCGTGGCATCCAACTGATCGTCCCATTGATACGACTTCGCCCACAGATCTTGCAGAAAGACCTTGAACGGGGCAAGAAACGGGGAAAGGAGTCCCAGGGGGTTGAATGTGGATGCTAAAGCTCTTAGGGCCGTCCTTTTAGAGGTCACTGATCGATGAACCGTCTTGATAGAGACAAGGAGAGTATCCTGAGCTGGTTTCCAGTGGAGCCCTAACAATGATACATGGGTGGAACAGGGCATGCGATCAGGAGCATCGATAGCATTATTGACACACGATGAATTAGAAAGAAATTGTCGTAAATTCATATGCATAGGAACAAATAATGCTTTGGAATCCTTATACTTATCGCTTCTTCCACTTCTGACGCTCCGAGCAGGATATTGTCCACATAGGTGTTGTGTTCTATCTCCTCGTTGAGTGTCGAACCGAGATCGCGTCTAAGATAGTACAAGATAGATGCTGCAAGTAAAAACGGTGACGCTGTAATCCCGAATAGAACTCTGGTGAACCGAAATATGCGAACGTTGACTTCCGCTGGCGGTTTATCAGCCACAAAAATCGAGTAGCATCCCTTTGACTACGTTGCAAACGAATTTGCAGGAACGCTTCCTCTACGTCAGAAATGAGAAGAGGGTAGAGACGTGACCTGAGAAGAATTCCCACAAGGTTCGGAAGTATTGATGGACCGGGATGGAGACAATCATTGAGGCTAGGCGCTCCTTTGTAATGAGAGGAAGCATCGAATACAACTCTGAGTCTGGTGGTAGTAGACGACTCCTTGACCACGGCTTGATGTGGAATATAGTAGACTCTATGGTCGTCGAATTGGTGTTCGTCGACTTCTTCGATTATTCCTTTGTCAAGGTAGTCTTGTATCGTCGAGGCGTAGAGTACCCACAGATCCGGTGTCTTGGTAAATTATCTGTACTGGCTTTCAAGTCTCTTCAAAGCAAGGAGCTTGTTGTCAGCTAGCCTGGGATGGGATTTTCTCCATGGGAATTGCACATAGAGGTGTCCATCGATTTCTTGTACTGTATCTTGGAAACGTTGAAGCACTTGTGCATCTTCTTCCCGGTCAAAGGAAGGATCTGGGTTATCGTTGACCCCAATGACGTCTAAATTATCGAAACGTGATATAGGATCTATGAGATCACTACTGGACGTCCTTTGATGGAAATGGGACTTCTTGAAAGTTAGTGTTGATGATGAAGAGTGGCCACGAAAAAACTTGGACCCTGAGAGGGTTGGTCCAAACCGTGTGTGACAAAGAACTAATCCGGATGGAAGTGTTTGCGCGTCCGGTGTCACAATATCCCAGAAGTAGTCAATACCTACTAGGATATCCGGTGTAACCGTACGAGTGGCCGTAAGAGTTCTATAGTTAATATTGAGAGTATGGAGGAGGTGCTTGTCCTTTCTGGTAAGACTTACAGGGGGACATGGAATCGTAATTTTGTCCTTAGTACGGGGGACAAGCTGGAGTTTCTTATTCTGTTGATCGATGAGGGTGACATCCGTGATCCCTGAGTGTTCCGTTGTACGTATTCCTCCAAAGGTGACTGTGGTAAGTGGGGTTATCTCCGAGGCTGCAATTCAAAGCTTGTTGGTATCCTGTAGAACAAAGCTTCGTTGTGCACCTGTATCGAGTAAAAGTGTGACTGACATGGTGCTGTTAGCTTAAGTATTTACAGCTAAGGCTTCCACTGTCATCAGACTGGAGATGGTGCTAGTGTCCAATGTAGTGGAGTGCTGCGTCGTCGGAGAGTTCGTATCACGATACACACGCATTAATTGTTCGTATTCCTCGTCGGAATCCAACGCTGCATGAACTGGGGATTCCTGACGCTGCGTTAAATTTCTTGCAATGGGAATGCCGTTGTTGTAGGGCTTTCGTCACGTATTGCTGATCGGAAACGGACTGTGCGATGTTCGGACGTTCTCACTCTATGCGATGTCTCACCGCCTAGAGAAGGTGTTCTGCTATAAGACCTACGCGGGGAATGAGAGCTTCCACGAGAGGAGGATCTTGAGGCTCGTCTTCCGTGGGATGAAGTTCTTCGATGATGACGGGAATGTTGAATCAGAGGATTCTCGTGTATAGCGTCTTCGGCTCGTTTCGGAGGGACGACTTCTACCAGCATGGAGACAGACAAGATAATGGTGTTCTCCACCACATCGTGAACAAGGTCCTCGACTGCAAGTTCTACTAGGATGACCTGGTTTGGAACATTTCCAACACAGATTGAGGGAGCTAACAATAATACGACGATTTGCCGATGGTATGTAATGGTGGCAACGTGTCGATGTGTGATTGTATGAGTTGCAAAAACAGCACATCGAGAGGTCGTATCGTGGCTCCGGTGTTGATGATCGGGAGCTGTCGACGGAAACGGTGTTGGTAGTGAGCTGGGATCCAGATGTAGAAATAGCGCAATCTTCCAGCTTCTCCAACTCTTCTATAACTTCATTGAGACCGTCTATAAGCTCTGGTAAAGTCCATGTTTTCCCTGAATGATGTTCCAGTTTGTGAACTTCCAACTGCGTTTCGCGAGGGAACTTCTTCAAAATCGTCTTCAAAGGTGCCAACGAGGTGGTAGTGTCCTCGTAACGATTGAGTTGCAGAATGAAGGACTGAATTTGGGAAAGTGTGTCCCGTTGTACTGAAGCTGAATGACTTGACGCTGGCAGCTGTTCCAACTTCTGATGGAAAAGGTTGTGAGTGAACTTAGGGCGATCACATCGCCTACGAAGCGCTTGTACAGCAAGTTGATAGTTTTCTGGCTTCGATGGATCATAGCCTTAAACAATGAACGCTGCGCTACCCTTCAACGAATTGGTCAAGTAAATAAACTTGGTCGACAACAAGAGATTGGTGTTGTCATGTACTGCAGTCTTGAATCTGCACCAGAAATCGTAGAACTTCGTGACATCTCTGTCAAAGGTTGGCAATTCCAGTCGACGTAGTTGGATCGGCTGTAACATCGAACTGGGAACGTCTTGATTAGGTATGAATGGCAGTGCGTCTTGGTTCGAATTCTGATGTTCTTGAGCCGGTTGATCTTCTTGTGGAGTACCCGTATCTGAGATGGTCAAAGCGGCAGTGGCAGTAACGACTTCGTCGCTGGGCTGTTGCGACAGGATGTTTTCTAGCGACTCGTCCATGAGAAGTTGCGCATCCAAAGCTGTAATAAGGATTTGTGCGTCTCTAGAAACTTCTCGCCTTGTTGTTCATTCCAGAAGCGGTCGACTTCTTGTTGGAGTTCTTCGCAATTCTCCTGGGGGGTTCGAACAAAGGACAACAATGCGTCATAACGGACTCTAAGAAGTCCTGATGCGTTTTCTATCGCGCGTTTGACAGCAGAGTTCACTCCTCTTCGACGTAGAATCGTACGGAGCTGCATCTGCGGCGTTATCTCGGTATCGATCGGTGTCAAACTGCTAGAATCAATTGTTTAAGCATCTTGGATAAAGTACCAACCGCAATCGTTATCCGTGCTTTGTGTCCGCGAAGAGTTGACATAGTGGACAACGTACACCAGGGAGCTGCTATCGTCCTGAAGGGAAAGTAGAATGTGAATGTCCCAGGGTAGGGGAACGAACATGGTAAACGGAATACACGCAACAAGCGAACGATGAGAGAAGGAAAAAATATGAGCAAACTAAAGGATAAAGAGATAAGCAACAAGGAATAACTACAATGAAGGGGTAGTGAGGCAGGCCATAACAGAATGACAGAACGAAGGTATGATATAAAGGGAATTATCAAAAAGAGAGTAGATAAAGCAAGCGAATGACGGAAAAATAACTAACGTGAGCAACTGAGAGGGTGCGTACACAGTCTAGCGCGTGCAAAAACGCAACTTAGGTCAACACGGAGACTTACATGAAATGCAATGCTCGCAGTGGCACTGGTGTCGCTTTCCGCGCCTCAATGGGCCGTGCAGGGCAACTCCGCTCACAACTGCCTCCCCATCTTATCGGCGGGTGGCATTGACCAGCGGCACCCATGTTACCCAAATTGCGGCAATTGCAAGGCGCATAAGGAGCCTACACCACGAACTCACGACACCGGTGATTTACCCAGCCAGTGCAACCGACGCTGTGCGGACTATACCGAGGGGACCCCTGCCACTGGTCCCGACGGTAACACTGGTTCTAGGTACGTGAACGGTATGCAAGAGCCCCAGTCGTGACGCTCACGTCAACACTTGCCCACGCGAGAAACTTACCAAAATGCGCTTGTGAACCTACTGAGGTTGGCGGAGAAATAGCCAACTGCGCCTATGCGCTTACCTTTTGCGAAGGGACGAAGGGTAGTGACGATGCGAACGACAGTAAGTACTTGGCGCGACAGAACGGGATCGATCTCGACAGCCAAAGCCGTCTTTCGACGACAGTGACTGCGGTCGATGCACCATTTTTGTCGTGACCAGGCGCTAACTGAAGAATGCATCGGCGGTGCGTGCACCCGGACCACGGCAAAACGTGGGAGTTGTCGGTGCCCACACGCCCTCGCGGGGTCTACCTGTCGCGCTGAATGCTGTAGCCTTGCCACGGGCGATTAGGCCTTACCCCTGTGAGCCTACGGTTATACGCTATAATATTGTACTACGACTATAAGGTAATAAAGGTTATTAACCACTGCGTACTATACACAGAAACTACACGGGTTATTGAGACCGGTTTATGACTTACGCCACATTGACAATAAAGCATTGACTAAGGGGATAAGAAAACTACGACACATAAGAATACGAGATTAAGCATACCTGACAAGAAGGAGAAGAAGAATAGAAAGAGATACCACGATCGACATGTTGCGTGTGAGGAACCCAAGGGTTAGGGTCAGGACGACTGCGCTGGTCCACCGACTTAGGCCGGGCAGATGGCTCTCCGGCGTAGACGAGACGAGCAGGACCAACTGCGCTTGAAGGGTCCAGCCGACAGACTTCATAGACGAACCGGCATTGACGACAGCACTGACGACACTGACTCGAACCAACCGACTGCGCGCGTGACTGGCTTTTCCCGCGCTTCCAGTGCTTCCATGCTTCGCGGTAAGACCGCATGCGACTTCGAATGGAGCGCGGTTTCATCCCGGCGCATATCGTAAACCCAGGTCGTACGCAAGTCACGACCAGCCACTCTGGGACGCGCCCATCTGCTCCTCGTATTGGTGAACTCATTTGGAAGATAAAATATCCGTCGAAAAGCCGTGCGAATTCCGGACTCTTCAAGCATATCGTAATGAACCACGAGGTATCTTAATTACCACTCGGACCCCTTTGAACAACAAAAATTTTATGCGTTAATTTTATGCGAGTGCAATATCACTAATACTGGAAATCCTCTGGCCAAGCTTGTAGAGCATCGATCACTCCTTGATGTTTGTCCTTGGACAATAAGGGTCCCTGTACCGTTCCGCCCTGACCTCTTCCTCCCAGCGGGCCAAATACGACCTCCCTGTCCAGCTGTCGGGGACTCGTCAACGTACGTGCAAAGATGCTCAGGGGAGCAGGGATGAAGAAGAAACCATCTGAAACGGCAAAAACCAGAAAAGGGACCCTACCTTGCGTGTTGAATTGTGCATTGTTGCGACTCTCATCGCTGTGCCCTCTTCAATGCAACGCTCTCTCTGCTATCTGATCACTTACTACATATAGACCAGTGGCGAGTAATGAGATAGTCGGTGGGCGTACCCCGCCAACCGCGCCATTAGCCATGCTAAATCGCCGAGGTCAAATCTTTCGCTGCCAATTGCGCGTCGGTCAGCACCTTCAAGAGGTACGCCCCAACTATGCAATTTTCCCTTTCTTTGACCTCCGTTCTCATCGTGAAATCCTCGTTCAATGAATGTGGAGAAAAATGAGAAAAAACCAAAATACTACTAAAACTGCAAAGGAACACCTGAGGCATGAAGATGGCATGAGAAGTACGCCTATAGGTCTCATGCAATAAAAAGTGCGCATCTGCTCTATGCCATTGGCTCAAGAGCCTTAGAGTACGAGCTGTTAAGGGCTCGTTTCAACACCACTTCTTTGTTTTTTTGTGTGCTGTTTTTGTACTTTAGCTATTGTAAGTTGGATAAGTATTTTCGGAGGACCAAACCTGGAAGGGGGGGGGGGGAACTCAGAGGAAGATGTGAACTATCGCACACCCTCAAGCCTCTCCATTTCCCGTTCATTTCCCGTCCTCTGCATTTCCCGTTCACTACCCTCGAATGCAGCAAGAAGTGAAGGTGACGAGTGAATCTTCTAACCAACTGCGATCCTAATATTATTTTAGGTCGTGAAGAAAGTTCTTGCGCTTTTCGTTTCGTTTTTGAACCCTTCATTCTGTAAGGAAATCAAGCAAGCTGCCAATGAGCTGTACGTGGTTTTGAAGAGTTTTGATTGTTCTATCTAAAAGCTAGGCTAGCTGTGTTCCTTGTTATTTAGTTGTCATTTTTTGAAGCCTTGAATACGGCATACTCCAAAAGCATTTGCATGATTTCCTTTTTCTAGCTCAAAGCAGGCCAGTATGGAGAGGAAGCAAGTCAAGATTTTACAGACGCACTTGGCTGAGATTCGCAATAAATATGGTCCGAAGCAATTGTTCAAAAAGCTTTTGTAAGCGAGAGCTCTAAAGATGGTGAGGGTGGTAATCGGAGACTGGATAACGCCAACGATTAATCGAACAGTCTGGTTGAAGCACGTTTGCACAGAAACATTGGAAGGGTTTCTCCTGAACTGAAGGCACTTGCATTGTGTTTTCTTGTTGTACTGGAAGAGCTGGAAAGTCCCGAAAATTCAAACAGGGCGTGCCGCGACCAGGCACCATCTTGAAGGGTCGTTCGCCGCGTTCCAGCTTGTTTCATGCCATGAAAACGACCTGACATTTTGATTATTGGCGATGCACGACAAAGGACGGATTCTTTGCTACAGAATACGAACCTATGGTGAAGTGATCGACCGCGATCAGGCATTATGAACTGTGCAAAAGTGAAACTTCACTGAAGGAAGTTTGAGGTAACTTTCATAAGGTCAGCATCTGGTCTAGCTTTTCGTAACCAGATTGATCTGTTAATGTGGAAAACGTACTCCTGATAACGTGACAAACTACTCCCAGAACTCTGGCGCATATGCTCGAAATTCCTCATTATAAGGGGAAAGGCTCCTCCTCGACAGGTAGCTCGGAAGCACATTCCACAACCAACCCTGCAGAAGTTGGACAAGATTGGCTACGAATTAGTCCTGCGAACATCCTACTCGGTAGACCATTCGTCTATAATCTGTCACTTTCTCGACTACCTTGATAGCTTCTCCAAAGAGTTATGCTTCAAAAACCAACATGATGCAAAAACGACCTCCGCCGGGCTCATCGTCTCTAGAGCTCCAGTATTCTGCACTACGAGGCTGATTCATGCAGCTATTATTGGCAAAGGTTGTGGATTCTAATAGTCTTTACTCCAATCAAAAAAGATTCCGAATGAGCCGAGATATAGGCCCCCTATATTTGAAAATCAAGGTCAAAAAGCGCGAGAACTCTCTTCACGACCTAGTACTAATGTACGTAAGCTGTTGGCACGCACCAGCCGGGTAATGCCTTGTAAACCTAACCTCCACGCGGTCAAGCAAGCACGACGCTGTCCAACGAGAACCGAGGCAGCCGCCGTACTAATGCAAATGTTCACATTGTCTCTTAAGTTGTTGTCATTCCGAACGAAAATAGTGAAGGTAGCTGGGTTCAGTTCGACTCACCGGCGACTCGGTCAAACAACGCTGGAAAAGACATTTCGAAGCCTTCCCCTGTATTTGTACCCAATCCCTAATAATCTCAGTGTTGTCCTCTGTCAGTCTCCGCGCCATGTGCCCACTTCGGCTTTTCTTTCCAAACACTAGTGTAAGTGTTTGGACTGGATCACGGTCCAATGTTGTTTTGTTGGTCCATGCACGGTTTCGTTTCAATTTTAGTGCTACAGAAACATTACATAATGAAAACACATACATAGTGTACCTGTGATGAGAAGCCTGTGTTGTGCGCCTTGTTGCCTTGTTTGAACTGTGTGTTACTGGGTTGTCTTGCCCTTTGCTATTGTCTTGCATTTTCATGGCAGGTCCGACTGGCATTGGTATTGGTTTGAAAGAATGGATTGCTTGTTGTTGGCCGTCCGTGGAGAGGAGTCTGCTGTCGAGAAGTACCGGAGAACTGCCAGTTCCCCTCAGATGCGGTATTTATACGGCCGAAAAGGGGGCGGTCTATGTAGCCACCGAGGTAGGCGGGACATATGATTCATACCCCGTGGTGCGTCCTTCATGGTCGTGGACGAGAGTTCACGACAGTAAGATTGGATCGTTTGATGATTTAATTACATGGTTCAGTGTTCCGAACTTTGTGGCTTTGTTATAAAGTGGACCAAAATTTCCACCTGCACACAATTCGACCGATTGGTTCATCTTCTCACGCTAGTTTCTTAGGCTATTCTCGCGCCTAGAACAGTAGAAACTTCCCTCAAGTGAGCTCTGGTCTTGCTGAAAAATTTACTTTTGTTGAGCATAAGCTCTCGCTCTTGCTGGATTCTCGCCACGCGGGTCTTCCGTTTCGAATGGATCCTCAAACGTAGGTATAACTTTTATTGTAGACAGCCACTGTAGCAAGAGAAAGAAGAAGGAACTGAATCTATGATAATCTGTCGTGCTCATATTCAGTGGATAATGGGCGGAGCAAGCTATATGTATACCTCAATACTGATCATCCAGCAGATAATAATTTCTTCAAGTTACAGAATGAATCACGGTACAAAGTACACTAAAAACCAATGAGTAAAGAATCGACCATGATAACAAAATACAATCACACCAAAATAATCTCAGATCTCTATACTCCCGAGCAAAGCAGTGCTAGCCAGCGTCCAAGTTCTTGAATCTGTTCCCCTCTAAGTGCGATTCCTCAATGTTGAGCGGCGACGTCTTTCCGTTTGTCCGTACGTTCGCGATGTCTGCTTTCATGTGGGCTATCGCTCCGCTCTCGTCTCATTCTCATTGCTGTTCTTGCGATTGCCCACGAGTCGGACGATTTTGCCTCCTGGTTTCACGCTCCAGCCGGGCTTGCAGGTCACGCATCTCCCTTTCGAGCCTCGATTCCCTCGATTGACAGCTCCTTCGCCTGTCCTTGAGTTCCACCATTGTCTCGATGATCCTTCTCGTCCCTTATCTGTCAATTCCTTTTTGATCGACCGGTTAACCTCACGCATTGCATCTCTTGCATCATTCAGCTTCCCGGTTTCGCTCATTTGGCGTCGAATTCTGTCCAGCTCTAGCTGGATTCCGCCGGGCAGTATTCGTGCCAAAAAGACGCAAGTTAAGCTCTTCGAAGCGCTTGTGGATATACCTGATGTCGAAGGCCAGTGTCTCGGAAATTTCTTCTCGTAAATATCTGAAGTCTTCTTGCAACTTTCTCCTGTTCTCTTCATTGTCCTGGTCACCCTTTGCTGACCGTCTCTTTGCGTATTCATTGAGCTCCTTCTCCATCTGGTTGAAGCGGGCCGTGAGGAGGTTAACCTTTGAATCTAGCTTTTCGAGCTTTGTCTCGTTCGACTTGTGCATCTTGATATTTTCATAGTGGTAAGTCTTCATCAACTGCTCAAGCCTTTCAAGCCGTTCTACCGTTTCCTGGGAGGACGACACTGTAACAGCTGAGGCGAGTTGGTCCACCTTACTGGCGGCTACTTGGAGAGTTCTGCTACCTTGGTGGAGGAGCTCTTTCAGCATGGATCCTGAGGCGCGACCCTTTTTTTGTGGATGTGACCTTTCTTCTGTTGAAGACGAGGAGGAGGAGGACGTATCCCTCTTGCGCTTGGAGGTGGAAGCGGTTTTGGATACTGCTGGCGCTGACTTTGCCGTGGGATTTGAACGTTTTGACTGTGATGTCAACTTGGTTTGAGAAGTCGCCTTTGGCGCTGGTGGTGTAGTGGCGCTAACGTCTGTTTCCGTGGTAGCAGATGGCGTCTTCTTATATTTTTCCATGGCTAAAATGCAAAACTACAGCAGAAAAATGAAGTACAAGTAAGTGGTTTCATGCGACGGATAAAATCTGGATGGAATCGATGCCGCATCTCAAAGCAATTTTTCCAATCCTTCCTTGGGTGGACGAGACATGGAAAGGATGGTTATCCACCCTGTTGCCATAGTCCTTATATTAATGCGCAGAAGTTCTTTTGCATTCTTCAGGGGTATTTGAAGTATCCGCAGAGCAATTGTTAATCCGCAGCTCCAAAGAAATAGGTATCTCACTACACGAATTAGTACAACACCGGCTGTAATGGCAGTCTTATACCAGTGAAGAATGACGTCGAAAATATGAACGAAATCCGGAAAAACTAGCTCATCGTATGCGCTGCTTTCCATTGATGACTTTCCTGGTAGATCCGTGAACTGTAGGAGCCCACTGCAGAATCCCCGTGATTTCGAAAGTCTTTTCGGTACTACCACATGGAACCTTACAAAAAAAACATGAAACCTTGCTTCGTCAATCTTGCCCATTTGTATGCAAAACGTATGGTAAAAGGCGATCCTTCTCTTCGACACGGAACTGTGAAAGATTGGTCATCGCATGTTATCGTAGCCATGGTGGGGTTTCCTTCAGTAGTACACGTTATTTCTGCATATGCACCTTGTGAGCAGAGATAACATCCTTTTGCGATGGATTTGAGAACAGTGCAGATCGAATCGGCCACCATTCTGACAGTATTGTCGAACTCCTCCTTCAGATGGATTAGGAGCTCTGCCGTGACGAATGAAGGAATTCGTGCCATGACCGTTGTCGGATTTTCCTTCGCTGTCGTAAAGGTGATCCATGGACGCCGTATTGGCAAGCGGTTTTCTATTTCATTTGTAAAAACGTTCGCGACTTCAAAGCAAATAGGCGCACAATTGATTATTAGCTTGGGTGAGTAAGCTTACCGAGTCGCATGGTATCGCTTTGAAAACTTCGGATAGTTACTGCTACAGTTCCTATTGCGAGACAAGGGTCCATCAGAGATCTAATAGAGCTCGTACTGAATATTTGTCCATTACTTCCTGCAAATTTCATATAATGTTGACATCGCAGTCCAATGCGATAAGTTTCAAGAATGGTACGAACAACTTCTCTTTTTGTCCTTCAGAAAGAGGTGTGTCTCAAAAGTGCAAACAAGGATGGCGATCAGAAGATTCTTGTTACCCTGCCGCTGCTGCAAGCTGTTGCGACTAGGTGTCCCGACGTGAGGTGGAAGAAGGGCATCGGTTGCGGAGCACCGAACACGGCAGAGATGGGTGTTGTATGGGCCCAACACCCTATCCGAGTTGGATGCGTCGCGTATGGAATGCTCAAAAGTCTGCTGCCTCCGCGAGCCTAGTGAGGGCCTTTCCGCTATCTGATAACCTGACGACTATATACAAATAAAGTGTATATATTGCTACATAACAGAACACTGAATACTAAGGTCTTTTATGACTATACTACAATGAATTACATGACTTCATCATATAGAGAAATGAGAAGAGGTGGAGGAGACCTACGGACACGATCGGAAGGCGTGATGGTATGCTGACCGATCCGCGGCTGACGGATATGGTATTGACGATAGCTCTGACCATGGCTGATGATTCCAAGGGCACGGCCGCTTGGCAAGACGACTGGACGGCGACTGTCGGTATATGGGCGCGAACCAAGCAACGATGCAGAGCAACTTCCCGCACTCTTGGCTGCTACATGTGTCCGAATCGTGGAATGTGTCTGCGTCCGTGAGAAGGCGGAGCCTCTCGTCCTCTGTAGCAAGAGAACGTGGTTAGAGCACGGCATACTATCGGCGCATACCTTGCATCTGGAAAAAGGTCGTGGCGAGAGTCACGACAACAACCCAAGACTATTAAAGACTACAATGTGATCCATCGTCGTCATATTTGACAGAAGGAAGCGGGCGGGTCGCGAACAGAGACCAGCGATGGAATACATGGAAATTTATCGGAAAGTGTAGAGGAATTGTCCAACGAAATAGGAAACTCAATATGAGAGAAAACGCCATAAAATCTGATCTTTTCAGGCGCACTCGCTCAGGACCTATATTGACACATGTCAGAGCCACAAATGAATTACTGATATTTTTGAAAGCGTTGAAGTCATATTTCAGAGATATGGAAAAATTTCAATTGTTCTTCCACACAGCGAAGGAGTGACGAATGGATGAAGCCTTACAGCTGGATCAGATCATGAAGAAGGCAAACAAGTAATCGTTGATCTCAATGTTTCGAAGTTCCTCTTCAAGAGCGTATCCTTCCATAGTCGCGCCCTGATAAGTCCATCTACGGTCAATGAATGCAGTTGATCAGGCGCTGCTGCATCTTCGGAAATCAAAAACGCCGTTCTTAGTGGCGTAGTGTGATAAGAAATCGCCCGATGTGATGGAGTCCTCTACAATTTTCATAAAGTTATTGTCTATCGAGCCTATCGATCTTGTAACCAGGGTGAATATTGGTCGAGGAATTCTTCGACGGGGGGGGGGTCGTATTTGACTTTTTGGAAGACGGAGGGGGGTCGTAATTGCCTGTATCAGTATCGTGCGATTCGTGACATCCAGGTTTAGGGGAAGTGGGGGGCCTTCCCACCTCTCTCATTAAACCTCAGTGCGTGAGAGATATAACAGTATTCATTATTTGCGGGTCCCATCACTATGCTCTTCAGCCCTCCTCGTGATAACGTACATGAGTATCTCAGAAGGCGAAGTAAAAGGACACCAACGATGGACGAAGCACTGCAACATTTTATTGAAAGATAAAATGTCCACTATTGATCTAGGTCGTTAAAAATGCCTGAGGAGAATAATGAGGTTAGTGCTTTCTCGATCATGTTTTGAATCTCGTATTGTATCGGCATCTTCTCCACCACTCACTCCATATACCGTCATAGAATAGACATAAAGATTCACAAGCTTCTCTTTATCAACTAAAATGTCAAGTGTTATACGCCGTTGGAAAGAAGACTGGTTGAAGAGCAGGTGTAACTTGAGCTATGGCATCCTTTACTTCCTTCATGAGACTACCTTGTCTCTCAGTTGACGAAGGCAAATGAGATTTGAGCTCTAAACCTGGAACTGGGTTCATCCATTGGCGTACTAAGTTTTTCGGCTCAACGGTAGAACACTCGGTCCGTTGCGATGTATCCTACAACAGCTCATTTGAAAAGGTTGGCTAAGGAAAAGCAGTATGCCAGCGCTATGGAAACTCTGAATAAATAAATAAGTCACTGACGTCATGAGATCATCTAGAGTGTTTGGTTTTAGATTGCTACGTTCGCTTCTTGAGAGTCTATTTGCGGTTGAAAAACTCCTCTCTGGATCAGCGCTGCTGGCAGAAATTACCAAAAAGCATCTGATGGCCTAATAATCAGACAATAAAGAATTCATACATAGGTTCCAAGAAGGTGAGAAATTTCACCTGAAGAACGAGATCAGGAATCCTCAACGCCTCGCCGTTGTTGAGAAGGGTTTGATAGAGTCGGATGCTGTTTTTATCTTGACGAAGATTGGCTGGCCACTGATCCAATGCGCGTACCGCTTCAGCAATAGAGTTGTAAAATTCAAAGAATGGATCTCGTGCTCCAGGTAAAGAGCAAAACTGCTGAATGTTCAATATGGAAGGCAGAACTAGATTATCCCGCTTGCTTATGTCCACCTTCCCCTCTTCGTCTATATATTCGGCATAATCACGACTCGCAGCAGAGATGTCTGGCAGAACGCACTCTTTAAAATTTTCGTAACCCTCATTGCATTCTATGATATCCAAGATTATGTGCCTATCCAACGCGTACGGAAAGTGAGCTTGAGCTTCCGTAGGATACTTGCTAGGAGCCATGTGATACCGAAAATGTGCTCGCACATCGCTGTAGAACTGGTTGATATGACTCACTGGTTGTGCGTAGCCGTGATGGCATGGTATTCATTGCGCATCGCAAGCGTGTTAGATAGTGGAGCAGCGCTATGAGGAGGCTGCTGAGAATTGGTGTGGACATTTCTAAAATAGCGAATGTCTCTAAGCGGAGACGTTCTCGCTCTACACTCTTCGCTAATTTTTTGCAATTCCTCCGCGCAGAAGTCGGGAAACATGGAAGGACCGTAGGCCAGAAGATCCGTAGAGTATCCAGATTTCACTGTAGAAGGTCTCTGAGCATGAGGTGTATATTAGTTCTTGAGGAAACCGGCATTCACAAATCTGTTTTGACTAGCTTCCCACCTGAGCACGTCCTGTAGTTGGGGGCTGCTCGCTGTGTTGCTCGCCAAACCTTTCGGTGCCACGCGGTATATCTTGCCGGAACGAACAGAACACCTCCAACTTATTCTTTTATGTCAAGTGTAAGTATATGAGCAACAAACAACGACAAATATCGGAGTTGCTATAACTTGACACACAACCTACAACTTGACACAATCTAGGATACTTGCCCAATCTACCCAACTTGTCGAGAACCCTAAGAACTTGCAATCGATGAGACGAGGAAAAATGGAAAGTTGGGAAAGCTAGCGCCGAGCTAGCTCTGAGGCAGCTCCTCTCTGGAGACGACGGCAGAAAATACACACTGAGCCTTGATGTTTTGATAAGCGCTTTTATACGCACTTATCGATGTTTTATGGAGATAAGTGCCTCGTCGCGAGCTTTCCCATGGCTTTGGTATGCGCGACTTTCCAAAACATTCGTTCTAGCTACAGTATCACTCATTGCAAAGAAAAAAAGAGTCGTGATCTCCACGACACGTCCGCTGTAGGCGAGGCGACAGTAGACATCCTGTTTTATTGTTTCGCTTTTTAGCAGAAAATCCAAATGTCTCCATCGCGACAAGTAACTTACCAGGAGAGCTTCTTCATCCTGCAAGGCTTCGGAAAGCCTAGCAAGATAAGATAACGTTGCATTAACATGATGTAGGACGATGAATATTCGCCCATCGTTCAAAACGAAATTTGCCGTTTCAGCTCGCTCTCTCATAGTTGAGGATATGGAGCTGTCTCTAGCTAATCTTTCTGAGGCCTCGATCAAGGCAGGGTACACGCGAAGTATTTTTGAAAGCGTCTGTATGCTAGCCGACCATCGCACTGTGTACAAGGCATCCATTTTCAAATTGTGGAATCCCATATCCTTAGCAGCTACAGAGTAGGCAATACGGCCTCGCGTCGACGTGAACAATGAGTGCAACTCCGACACAAGAGTCTGAGTCAATTTGAAAGCAGCTCCTTTCTGTCCCATCACTGCCAGATCCAGCTTGTGGGCAGCACACACGGAAAGAAGAAAGCTCTGCCTTGCGTGTCCGCTGTCCAGCGTTTCTTGAAAAATGAGATCTTGCAACTTCTTATGAACGCCACCAGAAGACCCTGTCATCACAGAGGCTCCGTCAGACGAGAGCGCTACCATTCGCTTCATCATGAATGCATAGGGCTTGTCATCCAAACCTGGACTAGTCTTCCACTTACCCAACTGCTGTAAATAGCTGGTCCCTCATTTGATGTTCCATCAGCCAGTAAGGAGAATGGCATGTTACTGTTGATCACGTACTTGAACATCTCGTATTTTATGTGGCGTGCGAATGTTTTAATCATATTCTTAGCTGGCACAGGATCGAAGTGTGACGTAGCTGGCGCTGCTCCTGCGCGCAATCCCATAAGCAACAAAGGAAATTGCTTTTTGAAGGACAGGCCCTCTTTTGCAATGGTATATGCGGATAACGTAGATGATACCGTACCTTCCGTAGTGAAAGGCACGCGAGACTCTACTTCTTTCGCCACACCGATGTATTCCTGGAAATTTGCATCATGCTCGATTGTAGATTCATGAGCCCTTACTCTGTTGAGCAGAACGTAAATGCCACTTCTCCGAGATGGATCTCGTCCAGCATATCTATGAAGGCACACTACTGGACCTTTTCCCAATGCATTCGTTCGGAGAGCACCTGTATCGCTTCTCGAAGACACCTCACAATTAGCATGATCTTGAGTAGGACTGTATACTTCTGTGCCAGTGCCCCTGTTGCAAAGGTTGCATCGGAGGAAGTCAGCATTGGGTTTAGTCGGATCTCGATGGTAGGCAAGCCATGGAAAGCTCGTCATCGCTGCTATCTGCCTGTGGGATAGCGTTTTTCCGTCGACGCTCACATGGCGAAGGTTTTTCTTCACTACTTCTAGGTCTTCCCTGCTTTTGAACAGCCCATACATCTTTCTCTGATTTTCGCCTGTCAATTGAAATGCTTCTTTGAAATAATTGTTCTTTTCTTTAAACATCTCACGTATCTGGTGGAGCTCCTTCATCATACCATCAATTTGTCCATTCAAAGATTCAATCGTTTGTTTTAGTTCAGTAACCTGAGAGCAGCATTGGTGACTGACCCTCCCACGATCAACACTTCCTCTTCCCAAATCGACATCCATATCCTCTACGTAAACTGGAAGAACCTCATTTTGGGGCTCATCTTGCATCCCACTACGTGGGGACGCCTCCGTGGAGCTCCATTCGGGTGGTTGTTGCGTTGCGAGAGATCTTTCTAATACTGACAGACGGAGCCTGAAGTTCTCTCCTCTACAGTAGTTTTGTTCACCTGGAGATGGAACCGTGAGCGCCCAAGAAAGACCGCAAAAAGACGCAGAAGTGCATCCATCGAGTGAATTAGGCGGAAGTACATAAAAATCAGGTTGACCAGGAAGGAGGGTCGCAATCCTCTTTGGCGGTAGCATCTTGTGTGTGTCGTCGGTGGGAGCGAAGACAACGTAACTCCTAATCTCACTCGAAAGCCACTCTTGCTTCGAACGTGATGCATGAATTTTGTCCGCCACAAAACTGGGGTTTCCTGTAGGAGAAGTTTTGACGAAACCGAATTTGCTAACAAAATTGTCGTAGTCTTTAACGGTGCTTAAATGACCAAGAGGAAAACGGTCTGGAACTGAGGCTCACTGCGACGTGGGTCATGATACCTGGTGAGAGTTACAAGTTGTAACTCTCACCAGGTATCATGGTTTTCGCCACTGATCCAACGAGGCTTCCGACCAAATAGTAGGCACACTGTGTCCCTCGCGTTGTATTTTAGAACATTGCATGGATTGAAAATATAGCACAAGAAAGTGTTCATAGCATCAATGAGAAACTTGGAGAGGACAGACGCAATGAGATTGTTCCTGGCTCCCTCGTCCTCTTCTTGTAAGCCTCGCTTGTGGAAAACTGTCTGAGAGACTCAAGGAGCATTGTCAGCAGGACTACAAACTGTGCGTTTTATGACCTCAATTTGGTGCTGAGTTGACTGCAGTCAAACAGAACGTTTGCAAGATCTCTCTTGTCGTATGAAAAAGGGATCTTCAATGCAGAGGGATCTTCAGTGCTTTACCGTTTTTGAGCAGCGTTTGATACAATCAGATACTATAATAGCTTTGTGTACAGAGGTTCATGATTCCCGCACTCAATCTTTCAACTGATCCGGCAATGGAGTCGTAGAAATTTAGATTTTTTTCATTCTGATGAGGAACAAAATTTTCGTTGGCATTGATAGACTTAACTAATTGCTCATGCTATTTGGTTTTGCCCACATTGATATAATCGTCAAAATAAACAGGAAATCCACGATTACTGCAGAGATCTCAAGCAGAACGCAGCTCTTAAAAGGTTCATAATCACCACTGCATTCCATGATATCGGAGTGTGTCTGACCAACGCAGAAGATGCGGAAGAGCTGTTTGCGCGAAAGTTTCTACAGACTCCATATAGTGCTGGAAACTTATTTTTCGTATCTTCTTATACGATGAAATAATTTTATTGCGGATAGTTGCCACGTAGGATTGTAGGATTGCATTTATATTTCAACAACCAGAACACAGATAAGATAATTTGTTTTGCGATATTAGCGTAAATGCAACAAACTTCATATGCGTATTTTTTTCTACGGAGATGAAGAGGTGTACGAGGTCCTGCTCCCGTACTAGCTTTTTGTAGAGGACTGCCTGCGCGGTGATGAAGAGAAAATCGTTGGCGGAGCATGTCAAGAATTAGAAAAAATATCGATCGCGAGTTTGCGATATGTATGCATAACAATCTGCAGGCATGCAACCAACTATTAGAGTGGCGGGAGTGAGTTAACAATTTCGATTATCATCTCATCAAAGAGTATGCCTATTCTGAGTGTTGTCGTGGTTCGCGAGCGATCGCCCTAATAACCCGCGAGCATGATGCATCGAGGTGGTTTACACCCTCGTGGCCTTTCCAGGCACATCTTGATCACCGGGTCCTTCCTGGGGCCATGCACTTTTCCACATGCATGACATCCGCACCCCGGAGCCTAACGGGTTTCCAATCCAGAAACGGGGCTCTAATGGACCATGTCATGCGGTAACAACCTCATAACAACCGCAGCACATAAAGACCTGTTGCGTCATGATCGGGCCCCAACCCTGGCGCTCCCCCTTACTCGAGCTGCTACACTTGTACACACTGCACAGCTTTGACTCACGGTTTACTGGCGACAACATCCGTCGACGTCCTGTAACTCAACTTCCTGCCGAGCGTGGAGAAGCTCGGCCAACGCTTGTAGTCGTTCACAGCGCTTCGCGTTAACAGCGGTAACAGTACTTGCACCCGATATTGTCCCTCGGGTTCAGCGGGAAACTAGCTTTCTAGCATTTCGGACGGATGGGATAGCATGCCCGAACATGCTGACGGGTGCTAGCAGGCACCCCTAGCCGTTCGACTTCCTTGCGTTACCCGACGATCGCCTCTCTCGGAGGAAAAGAAATGGCAGAGGTGGCTCTTTATATAGTCACGGTTGGAGGAGTGGCCGGAGGTAGTATTCCCCGCCAACACGACCAGCAGCGCGACACAGTCCGGGCGCGCGGTGCTCCCAAGACTGTCGCCGCGAACGGCGACAGGTGTAGACCTGTCCTCAAAGAGCTGAGAAGGTAAGACTGGGCAGTTTCGAGAGGACAAGATTCATGTTCCCTTCAAAACCATGCTGCTGCCTCCGTTCGACCGTGAGGCTGCACGATTAATCTATTACGGCCAGCAAAATAAGTGGAAGAAGTACGGCTAAGCAAGTTTCTTGGAAGACACAGGAGGCGCCCCCGGCAGCTCAACCTTACCAACTTGTGATCGGCGGGCTAACCTAAGTAAATAGCTCTACGGCCTCTGGTGTAAACATAAACAATGAGCAGATATGAATTAAGGTGCACTCATAATAATTACAAATACGCAAGAGACACATAACAAACTGTAGTACTCCTTAACGTATTAACTCAACACTCTCCTCGCACTCCCCGGAGTCACCTCACTCAAAGGTTAGCCCCACCAACTGGCGTTGCGTAATAGGCCCCAGCGGGCTCGAAATCTTCTGAAGACTCCATGCAACCGAATGTCCTGATCGGGGTGTTATAAGGGCTGCTCCCAGACGGCACGACCGGCTTTGGGTGGCAGGTGCTCCGAGGCAACGTGCCCCTTCACCTTGAGCTGGTCTCATCGCGTTTCCGGTGAACACCGACCTGCCACCGGTAGCCAGCTTCTACGAGCACCGACACGCGTCGGTGATCGTAGGCGACCGACTGTAGGGGACATGACCAATGGTGGGAATTCATTGGATGCCGCGCGCAAGTGGGCTATGAAAAGCCTCAAAAAGCAAATATTCTCAGCGATTCAGGAGTAAATGGCACGAGTTCGAGTTGCGATCGTATAGTTCGATGAACTGCTGCTTATTCTTGTGATTGAAAGCGAGCCAACTTCAGCCTACTACTGCCAATTCAGCTCTGCTTGTGTGCAATGCAAGCCGAAAATAAGGAGCGCACTTCATAAGTCGTTCTACCCGTTTCATGCCTCAATGACGTTTCTCAGCTTTGTGAACCTCAGTGTGCGTCCGTTCATAGATGAGCCTTCATCATGTGAAAGCTCTACCATTCGTTTCACAGTGAATTCGTAGGACGACTTCTTCATTTCTGCCAGTCAGCAAGATCATTCATCTTTTCCATCATCATCATCTTTTTCAAGGTTTTGTCAGGATAGTAACGATGGCGTCGGCCTTCTCGTAAGGTAGAGCTATTGGATCAAGTAGAGTGTAATGGGACAACTTTGAGGAGAAACTGCTCTGAGAGGGAAAGCAATCCATTATTCCCCTCATCGATGTCCTGTCAGAAAGTTAAGATAGTGGAAGAAATTTGGCGATGCTGTATTTCATGTGCAGTGCAAATGTTGCCATCTCAAGCTGATTGGGAGCCATAGTAGGAAGAAAAGAGTACTGTTCTGCTCGCAAAAAATGAGCAAAAGGCAACAGCTTTTGTAGTGACATTCCCTCCTTGGCAATGGTAGATACATAATGCAGCTATGATTTATTCGATCCGAGTTAGACCTTTTGAAAAGAACTTCTGAATTGCATCTCATTTCCCTTGTGAACCTCGACAATAAGAGATGTACCACTTTGGCAACTTGAGCACTTCTGCCACTCTTCTGTGGTTCACTTTCCCTTTGTTCTAATAGATTTGTATGAAGGGTTTCATCGCTTCACTCACTTTCCTTATTTTTCACCCGCGTCTCTGCTCCATAGCGGGCAGCAAAGAAAAATTGCCTGGGATCTCGCAGCATCTTCGCTATCGGAAAACCAAGGCTAACGCCAGTTACGTTGCTTGTTACACTGTTGTGTTTTTACCATCAACGTTGAAGAGCGCGGATTCATCAGATTTGCCTTTTTTGCTTTTGGCCTACCAACACTTCGTTCTACTTCTTCGTTTTTCAATTGCAGTACTTCACACGCCGTTCCATCGTCCTTTTTTCTCGTCTTAGTTGAGCAAAACTGATTTTCTACGGTTTCTGCTTTTCCACTTGATGTAACTGCTAAGGTCCAAATGGTGGACGTGCTCGCAGCAACAGCATTGTATGTTCGTCATTTTTATCTATTACGCACCGGGTCACTTAGTGTTGCTTTTTCACCGTTGGTTTCAAATATTTTCTTTTGTATTTAGTAACTAGGAAGTCAAAAATATATTCACCAAACACTTAATAACATAGACTGTTCTTAGAGAAAATACCACACTCATACAATTCTGAATTCTAGAAAAATGTAACAGGTCTGATCTGACATTATCTGAGAAACGATACCTCTTATTGGCTAGAAAATTAGACATGGACAGAAAGGTGATAGTCAGATGAACTTAGGTCCAGGCTCTAAAGGGGATAAGGCGAATCTTTCCTAGCTGACTGAGCACTTTTTCCTATGTCTTGTTGCCCTATGAGGCTTGGAGTTTCGTGAACTGAAGTAACACCTTTTTGATCACCATTGTGCCCAGCTTTCTGCAGTCTGGGATGGACCTCATCAATTTTGGCAGGATACTTAGCTGCGTTAAAGTGAGGGATTACGATAAAGTGTGTGCGCAGCATGGTAGTACGTGCACCAGTGGCAGCATTAGTCGGGGGCAGGAAAAAGCGAGATGTGGCCTTTTTGCGGCCTGACGTGCGCCAGTCTTAGCGCAGCGCGTGAGTTTGCCAAACCTTTCAGAACTCCTCCCTCAATGCCCCGCCCACCAGTTTGTTATCATTTTGAAAAGATATTCCACTCGAGCGCGTACCTTGTACCCTTCCTATAAACTGCATTATCAATCAGAGGATGGTAGGTTGAGTACTAAGCAATGTCCGGTTCTGGAACCGATATTCGAAATTATACAACTTTCTTTGCAAGCTACTTCACTAAAGGAAGCGACTACGATGAGGAATTTTCGCATCGGCGGAGAACCTGCGCCACATGGAGCAATTACTTAGCTACCAAGCGAGCGATGTGTGGCACTTCCACAGCGAAAGGTGCCGTGGTGCTGAGCAGGACCTCCGCAGCACTCCGCCTCCAGCAGCGTTACGCCCACTTGTAACACGATTACTTGGGCGAGCTGTCTGCTGTCTGCTGTTGGCTTTTCATTTTGGGAGATCGTTTCCCTTTTACCGGCTGTATCTGCCAACTTGCCCATGTATTGCCTATGCTTGTTGGCATGATGGCAGCTATCGGGGTAAAGACGTCCAAACGACGTCATTCTTTAGTCGCTCATCCGTGGTCGAAAATGAAAGGGCAATAAAAGGGGTACTATTTTGCTTATTTTTGATTCTCTGCTTTTTTCGCCATTGGCGTACTATTGAGACCCTCACGTCCACTCCAAACCCCTTTAAACTATCGTAATCGCTGCCTTCAAGTGCAGTATTTACCACAACTTTCTACAACTGTACTCCATCGATTGGTCAGTGAGTGGATTCCTTTCTGCCAGAACTCGCTGTCATCAGGGCGAAGAATGACTGATGGTCCATTTCGATGTGCTCGCGATCATCGTATCTTATGTCCTCCAGGAAGTGAGCAGGCAAGCGGAACAAGTGGTAATCGATTGGTGCGAGGTCGGGAGAATACGGTGGGTGAGGGAGAACTGTGAAGCCAAGTTCCTGTATCCTCTGAGTTTCCTTTGCGACATGGGCGCGTGTTGTCGTGTAGCAGGAGAGCCTCACTCATAGAAGCTGCAGTTTTGAGAGTTCCCCAGCAACTCTACGCAGCTGCAAAGATTAGGTCTCGTCAACGGTGGTGTTGTCACCCAGGATTTCGTAGTGATGCAGGCCTCGTACACTCCACCAAACGCATGACCTTCCTCGGGTGGAGCTCACCTTTTGAGACTGGCATCGGTTGTCGATCTGCGTTCACCCTTTGGCGCCTCTGTGTATAGTTTACGTAGACACCCATTTCTCATCTCCAGTGACGATGTTGTCAAGCCTGTCGAAACGACGACTTCTGGACAGCAAACTTCGACTGATGATCACACGTGTCCGCAGCGCAGCTTCACTCAGTTCGTGTGGAATCCCTCTCCCCAGCTTGTACAATTTCCCGTAGCTTGGAGGCAATGGCTCATGGCGGTCTGAGAGCACTAGATGTCTGCTGCAAGTGACGGGTAGTAGCGTCCAGATTGCTTTGTAAAAGTTCCTCGATCCGATCAAAATCCACAGTCACTGGGCGTCCGGAACGTGGATGGTCTTCGAGCTGTAGTCACTTTCACGGAACTACTGCAACCAAAGTCCACAGGTCCTTTCGTTCACCGCGCCCGGTCCTTCTGCGGCACATATGTTGCGACAAGCTTCGACTGCTGAGTGTTCCAGACGGAACTCGTAAAGAAGGCAGTGGCGAACATGAGTCGAAGTGTACGGCATTATTGCTCCCCAGAGAGGAGTAAGGGAGGTCAAGTTTTGTGGTACAAAGTTTGCTGAGATCCCTCCATACTACTTTGGCGGGAGCAACAGAAACATGTTTCGAAAAATTTGACGCTGTTTTTAAAAAAGCGGACATTACTTAGTACTCACCCTAACCCTATTTCTAGGCAGCATGGTGGATTCCGGAGAAACAGGCACGAATGACTCCTTACCATGAGTTGGCCGCAGGCTCGTACATTATCGTAGCTCACCAGACAAAAAAGATTCCATTATGCGTGTTCTTGACAGAGGTCTCTGTTTTTCGCAACTGCGGCATTATTCAACATCTTCGTTCCCCTATGAGCCCATCGCAATCTTATCGTAATCTCTCGCTTTGTAATGTGACGAGATGGTAAATATGCAGTTACGCATATGATCCCTTTATAACCCCATCCAACAGTAACTGAGGCCTTGATGGAGTGTAGGTCTAGTTTGGGAGCTACTCACGGAAGAGAACCCCGCTTAGCCTTCCATCGTAGGCATGATCTGAAGAAAGTTCGAAGGACAAAAGTGAAATAGAAAACCAACCACGGGAAATAACAAACAATATATTAATCGATAATAGTTGACATGAAAAAACTTTCTAGAGCACGGACTCCACGAGATGATCTCTAAAAGACCCGAAAAAAACCACACTAAGTGATCCGGTACGCAATAGGACGGTTACTCCACTGACTGAATTATTTTCAGTAGTCACTTTTCGTCTGACCCCCCAAGCTCAATCTGAACATATTGGTTTCTTCTGCCATAATCAACTGAACCGTTGTAAAGAACATATCCATTTGTGGCAAACAACCCATGAAATTTCCTCCCAAGCAATAATCACTCCGACCTGGAGAAGGCAGTGTAATAACTCAATGGGAGCGGCCCTAGAAGGCAAAGGTATGCTTATCGAGAGCGTTGAGAGAAGAGCGAGAAGCGCTTGCGAATTAGGAAGCATAATGCAAAGTCTTTCCATAGGATGCAACTAACATTTTCGGTCTTCGGTGTGACTGGAAACAGCGTAACTTTCAATCCTGCTCGAGAACCGTTGTTGATCTGCAGTTGACAGCAATATGTGGTAATAGAAGTAATAGTAATAATAACAGTACAGTAATAGTAATAGCAATAATATTTTGCTGATAATAATACGTAATAGTAGTGCTTACACGCAGTATTAATAGAGTTAGAATAGCAATGTGTGTTGAATGGTAAACACATCAAGAGCACCTTGGGACCTCAGGCTAAGCTCTCGCTCGATCACATCGATCTAGCCACAGAGAAGTGCAGCAGCCCTTTGTCATGGCGCAGTCAAAAAAACATAGGCCGACTCTAACGATCGATGTGGGAGCGGACGTCTCGCCCCATTTCTAACACGTTGGCGACGACGACGTCCGTCAGTGCTGACCAACAGCTTGTAAGTAAGGAAATTCAAATGAAACCCGCGACTTTTTGTTTCAATAATTACCCGTCTCAAAGGAATTACAGCGTACTAAGTTGCTATACGTCTGCGTCCCATAATTTTTCTGATTCCAAGAAGATACTTCACTTGAATTAAATATCAGTTGCAGAAAAGCGCTGTGATTTTGTATCACAGCCACAACTTCCTCACCATCAGAAAGTGAATTGTCTTCGAATACGTTCCATGATCGCACTTCTCCATCATTAGGTCATACACGACGGTCTAAGGCTAAGAATTCACTTTTCTAACGCAGCTCTATTGAAATTGATCAAGTCAGACGCAGTTTCGCTTATCAGGTGTGGGGCATTAATTCTGGTGCATCTATACGTTTTTGAATTTTTTTTAACATTTTGAGAGTTTTCCCTGTTGCCATCGCTTGGTGAGGTGTGCCTGGAGGTTGACGTATTCTACGTACTGGAGTACAAATGGTCGGTCGTTTTCGACCTACGAACGCGAAATCATTCAACTTCACACGACGGCAAGCAAACAAGAGAACGTTGTGAAGATCTTTCCGTACCTCGAAAGACGGTTCAGAATAAGTACGACGCTATAAAAGAGTTGAAGACGAAGTGGAGCGGGAAGGAGGAGGACGTCCGCCAACAGGTAGAGTCGGAAAAATGTGAGGCTCGTGCATAAGGAATGAATTCGAAGGACGCCAGGAGATCGATGCGCCAGAAGGCAAAGACTCGGAGTAAGGGCGCGAGGAGGATTCTGTCAGAAAGTGCTAGGTAAGTTCCTCTATCCCTTGCAGTAAATGCCAAATCCTGAGGACATTAGTTGCAGAAGGAGATTGGAGAGCGTGCAAGAAGTTGCTGCAGCGATTCACGGGTGGCACGCGTCCCGAGGACATCGATTTTCACGTAGTGAAAAGATTTTTTACTTTCTGAATCAGCCGTCAACTCAAATGAGCAGGATGATATGGCAGGTACAGCTTGCGTGATGCATACCCCTCGCGGACAAGACTCAGGAAAGATCGACACCCTTCAGTTCCATCTATGTTGAGGAGGAGTACCTTACGGGGAAAGACCCCATTGTTTTTCGTTTGAAAGTGGTGTAAATAATCAACGCAGAGGTCTGACAAAAAACTATCCTGGTAGACAGTTCTCAAGCCGTGGGCACTCCCATTTCGGAGAAGCCTACTGGTGCTTCCCGCAGGATTCTTGCTCCAGCAACAAAGCAAGAATGGTCAGGAGTGGTGCGCCGAGCACCTGCGCGGAGCTTCATCAGACACGACGATTGGCCCTCAGTTTCGTGATGTCAACGCCATGGATTACTTCTGTGTGGTCATTTGAGAGAGGCAAAGGTGTTCAACCGACATCCAAACTTGGACTCTTCTTAAGGCGGCGTTTGCCAAATCTTTGGGACGAAATCGATGAATGTACCTAGGCGTGCCACATCGAGCATTTTTCGAACGTCTGGAAGGAATGTGTGAAGCCCCCGCTAGGAAGATTCATTGGTTGAGAAGACATTAACATTTTTGTATTGTCGATTTTGCAGTAAGATAATATTTGATTAATTAGAATTTGATTTGTGAGAATTATTGTCAAAATGCCATTGAGAATATTAGTGCACTCTAATTTTTGTCCAGCCACTGTAGGCAAGCAAAGTTGCCCCTATCCAGTTCCTCAGTGGTCAGTTTTCTTCAATGTTGTTTTTGCTTATTTGAAGATCCTTTGATCCCTATATTTGATCACGAAAGAAACAGCGATAACAGTTAATAAAGGCGTTCGGTACGTCAGGTAAGCCGAGTTTGTGCACCTCTCAAAGCAAGGAATACAGATCGAATTCGACAGGAGGTAAAAACGTCGAATACTGAAGTTGTAGATGGCGAGTTGACTGCTAATAGCATAGGAGAAGACAGCAAGCAAACGCCTGCGAAGTTCTCAACGGGGGCCTCCCATGCTTTCCTTTGGAATGGGGGGAGGGCGTCGGGACGAGTTGTCTGATTATATTGCATTTCGGGCTGGGGCGCAATGTGAACTCGGGGGCGGGGCGCCGCGCGTGTCTTTGCCCGCCCGCGCCTGTACATATTAAAGTAAAGGAGTGGCAGATCTCTAGGAAGATGAAATTGCTATATCCTGGAGTTCCTCTCCGCTGCCGAGCTGAGCCCAGTTTAGCAAGAGGAAATGGTTACAACAGAAAAGGAGAGAGATGCTGGCACGCGACTGCCTCCTGGCCCCCCCCCGCCACCACACTGCGTCCTTGCTGGCTCGGCCAGCACGAAATGCAGCTGGCGATCGCATTTACCGTAAATATAAGAGAGACATATGCAATAAATACAAATAAGAAATCAAGTGCTTTGAACAAAAACCTTAAAAGCTGCCAAAAAACGCAGCATTAATTGGAAGCGCGCGATAGTCACACGAGCATATCGCGAGGACCCACATTCCCCAGCAGCTTTGGAAGTGGGCGTCAGAACTGGAGCCCGAATGCTGCCCCTTCAAAGAGCGTTGACTCGCCTTCTTATGCGACTTCCAATGTAATTTTTTACAGTGTGCCTTCATAGGTACCCTACTAGAGCTAGTCATCTTCTACACATTATAATCGAATGGTCAAACCCTGCTGGACTTTGCTTCAAGCGAAAGTTCATAGAAGTTTGATATGTAATGAATATATCATGATACCGTAGAGTAAAGCTCATATTGACAATCAAAATGAAGAATACGTGAAATTTCGCCATTCACATCAATTCGTTCCTAAGGTTTGAGAACGCCATGCTATGTCACTGAAACTCCGGCATTCAGTAGTAACATCTTTCTTTGTTTCTAAATGTGTCTGGAGCACTTCAGTATGAGGGTTCTGTATATTATCGAGACTTAAAAGAACTTTGGATAAATTTTGCCCATACTTTCTGGAGCGCGCAAAGCAAAAACGCGCTCGTCGTCAACGTGCTCGCTCGAGTGAGACTCTCGCCCTACCGCGTCGTTGTGGAGAGAGAGCGTGCCTGAGGTCCCAAGGAGAATGACCAAAATGTTGACTAGATTCAGCAAATGAAAGTAGTTCACAATGTAAACACCACAACGCAACCAATTCTCACAACACTACCGCCGTCCCTAGAAGTGAAGGGGCTCAGAAATCTCCGAAAAGATGTAATGATCTCAATGCATAGAGTTTGGATCCGACATGCCTTGGGTTCGAATAAGCTCCAAACACGATTTGACTCCGTCACCTCCGGACGCCAGTGCTCGCACTGTCTTTGATTGCTAAACACGGACATGTTCCTTGCGTGCCCCTGGGCAGGAGTTATTACTGACAAACTCTTTGTTTTCCGGCGCCGTGAGCAGGCTATAATTCCTTCGTAAGAAGCAAACCAATATGCGAGAGAAAAAGGGCTCAACGCACCTAGAGACCTATTAGAAGAATCTGGCGGAAGGAAATTTTTGTTTCAAAGCTATTTCTGTGAATTCTTGCCAAGTTATGAAGCACTGATCGTGCAGATATAGGGGTTCTTACCAGTGACTTGCATATCGGCTGACCACGGAATACATTGTATAGGCCAAATCGCATTCTAATTACAAACATGATTCTGGTTTAGAGCAGAATACGTGGTGCAAACCAGAATGGGACTGATCAAGACTGGATGCTTTATCTTTTGTTGAGTACCCTGCGATTACAGCCTGCACCGATTTTCTTAGAATGGTTTGTGTCGACACTGTGATATAAAAAACTTGCCCCGTTGTTCTCTTTCATATTAAGTCACATAAACTCCTCTTGTTGCTCCATCCCGACCTGAGAAAGCCACAATCGGACGTGGTTGTTTTCAGTAGAACCCGGCCAAATCGTAGCGCTCGTCCAACATCGATTTGTTAATTTGTTAGCAACAACTGCACCCTCTTCCTCATTGATGCGCAAACTATGATAGATGTCAGTCGATGAAAAACCATGTAAAATGGCTATATCCGCACGAAAATAGGTGTGAAGAGCGTTCACTTATGAGGCCCTATAACTAGGGGAAGTGGTGCTGGAAATAGAAGAGGGGGAGCAAGAGAACCCGCCCGACTACGCCGAATAAAACTAGACTGCCGTTTCTATTGAAGCCCGCACTTGCAGATAGGGAAGAGCATGTTGAGCGGTTCATCGAGGCTTAGCTTCCAAAACTGCTCCAATCGTCAAATACACTGGCAGCAATTCGCTTGCCCTGACGAACTTGCCGCCGCGCTTTCATGCCGAAATAGGGTTGAACATCTAACCTTGAGCTTGCCTACTACCTCGGGTAGGGCACGTACACGCACTAGTACGGGCATCGTTCCTAGTCACGAAAATGCCTCGAGTTCAACTTGAAGACTCTATTTTCAAAATCGTGGTTTGACAGCTTATCGAGCACCAGGCATGTGAAGATCCAAACTCTATCAGTTTGGATCATTCCAGTCTTTGTGTAGCTGTTTTGAGTACTGTCCTTTTGTTACATAAACTATGGTATCTGAAAATGATCGATAATCTACAGGCAGATCTTGCACGTGTTAGTATACAGTGTCATCAAAAATATGCTCAACCAACCACGAAAATTGGTAGTAAGCCCTCTATACTAAAAGCACCAATACTGACATGATGCATCGCCAGGCACCTGTGGACTTGAGAGCGTAGGAAAGCTATGAAACGAAGCCTTTGTACGCCCATGAACATTCATTTTGAGAGACTTTCTAATGCTCTAAAACTTGCATTCAAAATTATCCTGCTTTGGTATTAGAGCTGCGTACCGGCTCATGTTACCGTAATTTGTGGTCATTCTGTATATCTAACTATTGCTTTGAAATCAGTGGAAGACTTGGGGTAAGCGGGAAGTTCATTAATACTGTCATCTTCAACAAATAAACAACAAGAACAACAAACAATTTCGAATGGGTGAAAGATAATTTCTAATGATTCATGATCACAACATTCCTAATTGCAGAACAAAGTCTGCTGGCCGGTTTGAACGGGCTTTCGCATGCCATGGGCATGCTGATGTGTTCGCCACGAATTCTTCTCACCAAGTAAATGTCTCTGGGAAATATAGTAACTCGACGAGCGTGTATTGCAGCCAAATTGGCATCTTCAAACAAACAGGTAAGGTAGACCTCAGCTGCTTCCTGAAAAATGTTGCACATACAACGATTCCTCATTTGGGGACACCACGTCTTTTTACCTTCCCAAACCTGCAGTTTTCCTACTTTCTTCTCAGTCATAACTTTTAGCACAACTGAAAACCCTCCTGGAAGTTCTGCTCTAAGCAGTGATTTGCCAAGTTCTGTGACTGTTAGGGATTCGTCTGAACAATTGCTTCAACTGTTCGCGTTCTAACCTCTCAGCACCCCAGGTAAAAATGGCCAACTGATGAAACTGGCGCTGTGTGTTTTTGAACGCTGATCTTGTCAGCCTTCCGAATCTGTGGAACCACATTTTCAAAGGTAGCGGTTTTGGCCAACAGGCAACAGGAGGTTGTGTGATAGATTTCTTTAATAATAGTTTGCCGCCTTGAAAAGTTACTTCCATGACTGGTTTGGTACCTGAGTACGAACACCGCGATCGTTTGTCTCGGAGGTGCAATAAGTTTCTTCATGGCCTAGGTTAGGTAACCTCAGTAAGAAACCGTAATCGTTGACTCTGGAAGGTCAATGGATTAGACCATATAAGGCGAGGGCAGACAGGGCCCATATTTGTTAAAAAATGCTTGAAACGTGAACGGGAGCCGGCAGAGGGTTTCTCAAAGTTGCTTACATGTACTACACGACTATTGCACGGGTTGATGGTTAGTGGTGAGTAATAGACGTTCTCGCGAATCGCAAAAAAAGTAAGGGCAGGCAACTGTCGAGGAATTAGATTCCCAACGGCCTCTCCCAAGCCTAGCCACTAGTCGCTAAACTCTGTCGCCTCTTCCATATCTACATCGATACTCCCTCCGCAGACTTGGAAAAATACAGAAATTTGAGATCAAGCTATCCAAGAAACATCTAACGATTGTGAGTCTCATTACAAATGGCCACCTCGACCAGGGATTAATTCCGGCCTTAACAGGCCGCGTTATACTTCAGCGCATTGACTGCCGACCTGTAGCTTTAATGCTATCGTATTAACTAGTCCGTAAATTACGCATGCGTAAGTTTGGAGGGACATCTCGTGATCGGCCTGATGGAATCTGGTCAGTTTGGTGAGAGAGACAGTGCTTAGTAAGGCTACCGAATATCTATTATAATTGCGGCTCAAAGCTAAAGCGTTTAGGAAACAGTACCGTCAGGCCTAAACGAATGGGGCACGCCTTTCCAGTGCTGCTCAGGGTGAAATATGCGGTCGAGTGTTCACTAACCTCGCCACATGTACAGAGCCCTTGATCGGGAAATAACCTCGACGGTTGTTCACCTGTGCTAGCTCCTTGCCCAACGCATGCCCTTTTATCTGAGTCCTCTCTCATTTCCCTCTCTAAATCGGCATGTTAATGCAACAACCTGACTGAACTAGTCACTGGTGAGGGCTGCTCTCTTTTGATTCCCTTGCGAGTGTGGGGGCAAGCACCATACAGGCACTGGGCATCGGCGTGAAAAGCAAGCTGAACGACGAGCATTCAGGGTGAGAGTTGATGGCGAGCCATGACGCTCCCAAGGGAGGTCGGTTCACGGTGTGCCAAAGCTTTTCACAATGGTTTCTTGGCATGAACATTGGGGCACTAGCGGTGAACCACAGAACGCATGGACTGGTTTTCCTGAACCGGCCGTCCGATACCAGGAAGCGGCCCTCTGATACCAAGAGGGTCCCTACTTCGATTCCCGTGGTGACCAGATTTTTGCATTTCAAGTTGACGGTTCAATTAATTCGCGGCAAAATAGAGTCAGCATGAAGATTGCAGCGCAATATTCATGACCGACCGTCAGTAACCCTTAGCAAATATTATTTTGAATGAAAAACTGGTGAAAAAAGGTGTAACACACAGTTGGGGCCGTTTTGGTGCAAAAACCATTTTAAAAAAAACTTGGCACACCCTTGAACGATCCCCTTGTTAGAGCTTCATCATAAGCGTGGAGGGGGCGGAAAAAAAATCATTTTGGCCCCGCGCATACCCACACCTTTCTTCGCCGCAAAGTGCCGCTGTTTGATTGAAGTTCTAACGTACAAATAAATATTCCTCTAGATGTCCCCTCCGTAAGCAGAAACACAGCCCTCCTTATCAGTTTATCACGCCACTCACTCGTGCTCAGAACGACGTCTCTTCCATCAACCGTCGACTCGAGATGGCCTACCATACTTGCTTCAACACATGAACGCGCTACGTCGTAATTTCTTCAACTTGTGTCCCCATATAGATACTTCTAGAACAGTGCCACAGCTCTGGTAATTGCAAAACCAACTTCCGCCAGAATGTCCAGTTAAGCGTCGTATACCTTACAGATCCGTCCGGGGAAGTCGTTGAGCTCGAGCCAAGGCACCGTGTCAGTTTTTGTGTTGATGCCATCAGTGTAGAAGATTATTATGAAGTTCTTGAAAGAGAGGGTGTGATTCGGCTCCCAATATTCCATTGGTGTTGGGTGCATTGGATTTGAATCATAATATTTGATCAATTCCGTTTCAAATGCGGAGGAGATCGAACGTGACACTTTTTAACCCCCCCCCCCTTTTCCCCACCGCCTTCGGTATGACGTTTGCAGACAGGCTGCTCTATTCAATAAAAATGACTAGTAACCAACCAATCCCGCGGAATGTGCATTTAGCATAATGTTCAACAAACTTTGACGTCGTATACCTCGCTAACCGTACCAACAAAACTGTAGCGTTCAGCGAATGAGTACCGTGTAAGCTAAAATGGCATTTGACTGCCCATTTGATTCTTTCATTAGAGCCTCGTTCGAGGAGTACCTATAAAATTGGCATGGTTACTATTAGTATGTCATGGAAGACATTTCCTATAGCTAGAATAATGGTCGAATTTCGATAAGTCATTAATTAAAATACTCTCCATAGAATTTGATCTGTACCGGTGGGACTTTCGTGAAAAGAGAATAAAAGTAATAAATTAAACAAATTAGATCCTAACAATGAATTAACGCGTAAACGTAAAATAATACCAGTAACCAACTCAGATAAAGGGGAAAAAAAACTCCGTTCGGCCGTGAAATGACGGAAACCCCCGACATGAAAACAGAAATTACCCGAGAACGTCCCGGCTTTTTGTAATTCCAAATAATGAACTGCAAAAGAGAAAACATGATTTGATGTTCCACGGCAGCTTCCTTTGCTCCCGATTACTGTAGCAAACCCCGAAAGTCTACAGCTTCATTTTAGACACCACCACCAACACATGCCATAATGAACACTATCTTAAAGGCAAAAGTCGGGTTCAATAAGGGGGTATTATGACGATTGAAAATGAGTACAGAGATGCGAAGTGGAACGGCAGTGGAGAAAAAACTGAGAAAAACCGTCGACAAGGCCGTTAACAAAACCCTCTTCCCCACTAGCAGTGAAGGAGGCTGGCTTGGGGAAAGAGGAACGTACAAACAAGTTTTCTGGAGATGTCAGTCGTTCTATCGGTTGATACGGCAATCAACTCAGCTGATTTCACACGTTATGCCAGCCACGCACCACCTCCGGAGGTGGGAGGTCCTGGATTGAAACCGAACGCCCTGGGGCCTTAAGTAGGTTTTTCAAGATGGGAAGTTGCTGCAACGTATGCAGCTCCCACATTCAACCTCCAGGCACGGTATTACTTCTCTAGCGTGCCTGAGCCCGACCTTTGCCTTTAAAAGATTCCACGTCTGGTCGAAGGTCGGAGACGAGCAAACGTACCTAGTGGAAGGACAGGCGGACCCCCTGAAGAAGTGGACCGGCACGCGAATCGTAACAAAGGATAAGTCGCCGGCGATCAGCATGGCCATTCTCGCGGCGCTACCGTCGTGGCACGCCCACCGACTGGTTAATTACTCGCAGGTCTTTAGCAGTTCAGCAGAGAGCGTTAGCGTTAAAGAGGACAGCACCGATGAGAATCGCATCAATACGGAGACGAACGGCGAGGGACACGTCCCATTTCTCTGAGCCGGTTTTGAGCCGTTTCTCATGTTTATTTCTTCATCCAGGCACCAATAACCACCTCCAGCTTAATTTTAATGAGCTGACTTCTGTTCCTAAACTCCCTTTAAACAGCTGTTAATATAGAGGAGGATAACGATTGACACATTTTCCTTCCAACACCACTCTCTTTGGAATCTTCAAACAAGCACACAACATATTCAAGAAAACCTACTTTTTTTGGCGACATCGCGAACCACACGCTGGAAGGCCAAGCGTGGAATGAGGTTTTCGCTCGTGAAGAGCTGTTCACGGCGGCGCTGTGGGAAGTTTTTTATATATTCTCCATGCACGATTGAACAAGAAAAAATAGTACAATTGATAAATACAGCTAGTTTTTTAAGTATTCAACGGTAATTCACAATAGTTGACGGTTAGAAAATATTGTTCTAATATTTGATGTAACTGCGCTTCGATCACGAGTGAGTCGTATGGAAGCGAAGCAGTAGGTTTTTACAGATGCCACATTCGTTAGATAGGAGCCAAATCATAACTCGCGATAGTGCGATTCGCCGAGTTCCATGCAAGCGACGGTCGGTGCCGTATCATTTCCCGCACTCTAAACTGCGAGGCGGCCAGTATGAAGTTGAAATATTGTTATAGCGTCGCCACATGAACGTGCGCCAAAAACTATACGGTATGCAACTACTAACAAGTGGGACTTCAAGGCAAAAGAGTGCTGTAGGTGCGCATGAAGCGGCAGGACACTTTAAACTCAGGCATTCCTCAAGAGAGACGGCAAAACAATTGTCTCATGATAGCAGAAGAGTAAGGCTTCTGGATGGAGGCAAGAGATAGCGATCTGATCTCTTCGATAGAAGGATGACAACTTTCTTCCTCCTACTCGGAAGAAAATCTCCTCCAGCGGAGCTATTTTTTTCGGGGTCGTAGTGTGCAGTTGAAGGAGGCATCATGATGCGCTTCTCAAGCGAACTATGTGTGAACTCAACATTCAGCTCTTCTGCGCAGTCAAAGTGACTGCCCACTCCACTTCCCTAAATGGGCTACCACTTCCCCTGGCGCGAGTTACCCGAGTTTCCGGGAAAAGCTGCATGATGATGCCCCCCTAGTGAATAGACCCTATTTTCTTTCTAAACATGATTCTACTCTAGCGCTTACCATTACCTCACGATTCCGGTTTTAGCGACCATCTTGAGCTAGAAGCGGGTGAAACAAGTCGTAGAAAATGAACCCTCCTCTAAAGCGCGTAGCTTGCTGAGCGAGTTGCTAAAATTTGGTTTGTCGTAATTGCGTGTCTTGGGGGGTACCCATCCACCTTAATAATTCCCTTTTGGGATGTTGTATTTTTAGAAATCTGTGCGCTGCTGCAGATTCCGCATCCGATGAGTACGCTTGACTGCGCTCGCTAGTTCTAGTGTCCTACGGTTTCTTCGGTTCGTTGTTAGCTGTTTCAGCACATGTCCGAACAATATCGCAGCGGACTGCGGTAAAGAAATTCTGTCCGCCGGCGGGGGTGGGGTGATGTTTAGGTAGCAGTCGTGTTAATAAGTGGGGGGGGGAAACGCGGAATGGCGTAAAGGTGGCGCGGTAGCTGAGTTGTGCTTGATTTGCATGGTCAAAGAAAACGTATCGAACTATTCGTGTGGCTGACGTGCAGGGAAACTCGTACGGGCGAAAATTCGCGGTGAGCGAAGCGTTCGATCCTCACTTCACGATTTCTACTGTGTCTGTCGCTCAGTCAATACATATTTTATTTTATTTTGCCCTTTGCGTTTTCGCCTAAGCGACGCTCTCGAAACAGGCCTTAACCATGACCAGAAGACATAATAAGAGCTGTCATTAGGAAAAGCACGGTTCAGTCACTAGCCTTTTGGAGTGAACGGATGAAACTTCAACAAATATTTCTTTCTACTACTAAAGTCAGCGCAACCAAATATCAGCAAGTTCCCATTTTGCACTACGAAATAGTAGGCACCATAGGTAACCTCGTTCTCCAAAATTAGAGGCACCGTTTGAAATACACTCACCCTTCCTTTTTTGCTCCTTTTTGCTCTAAAATTCCTGTTAAGTGGTACAGGCATGTCTTTTGTTGCAGGGTCAGGTAGTCGACCGTGACGAATTCGGGTAACACCTGTTTGTGGTCTCTAGGCATTCTGAACTACAAGCGGTCAATCGCTCAAGTAGGACAAATTCAAAATTCTTAGACCCCCTCCCTTTCCAGAAGAGCCTCAAATCACCCCCCCCCAGGCGTTCTTATTAGTGTCTTGATTTGAGACCAGTTGACAGCAACGCAATCCCACCTAAGATTCCTCCAAAAAAATTTTAAGCCACTACACAAAGCGTAAGGTCAAGGCGTACCACTACGACCCCCGTTGGAAGTGGGATGGACGCTGCCTCCGACTTTGCGCCATACGACCCCGCATCTTTTCGTCTGGGTTCTGAAAGTACCTACCCCCTCGCTTGCTTTGGTCAGCGGACGTTGGACCTCGTTCTAAACGTTAACATGACGGCATGTAGATACTGAGAATTTCGATGCTTGTAAGATGCAAGCGGTTAGCCAAACTCTAAAAGCTTGAGTGGTAGGTAGACGGACAGAACTATCGAAAACGGACAATAAACTACATGTATTTCAGGCATGTGCAAGCAAAGTTGGCAGGCCTTGGGTTGAAACAGTTCAGATCAAAATCGCATGAGTGATCGTTTTCTAAATCATGTGATTTCGAGCAGATCTTTGAGAGTATTACTATGATCTAAAATCCGAGAAGTGACCGAAACGGAGAAAAGTCATCTGTTTATTTTTTTTTCTACGTTCCGCGTCCTTGAGGGCTTCTGTACAAGAGAGGTGGGCACGCCAGCTTGTCAACGCATGTCTGATTGCCCTGACCCCCGCCCCACTTGAATGCCTACACTCCCCCTGTCTCACGAATCTCCCCGTCTCGTGGACGTAGCGTGTACGTCGTAGCGACAAGCTAGTCACGCTTGCATACATTTTGTTCAGAAAATGCGTTGCCACAATCCTGGGGCCGCGTCGTCCACCGATTATACACCTTGAGGATCTTTTTTTGCCACTCACGTATACTGCGCCCATTAAGGCCCACTATTTACTGATTATTCAGTAGGATGGGAGGTGGGAGTGATGGGAAAAGTGATGGATGGTGCTACATGGCAACAATTGCATCTGCACGGCATACCCTGCCAGGCGAATACGTGGTGCCAGCTGAGTCCATCTTCCATTTCCTGATTCTTCCCACGATTTGGAAGAGCGGAAATGTATTTAGCTTTCGCCCATAACATCTTCCTGCCATCATCGGCTGCTGAATATGATAATCGTCAAATTCTTTTCTTTTCCAGAAAAACTTAATTGTGGTACTGGATCTTATCCTGAAGGTTTATCGAACTCTTATCCTCACTGTTACAAAAAAATTTCCTATTTGCACAGCGATCCTCAATAGCGGACTCGAACGGATCAATAATCTGAATGAATTCGAGGCTAATGACACGATTCTCTCATATTCAATCTCTGTTGCTTACCCTCTCCAGTGCAGCGCGCAAAATGTCTCTGACACCTTGCAGATCACACCAGAGTCAAGCGTACGTTGAGGAATCCTCGACACGTCGACAAGGGGGGGGGGTCGTATTGGCCCGCTGGTAGGAAGAGATCGGGCCGAATCGATGCAGTAGAATCATCATTGTCGGAAGACAAACATCAATTGACTTTTTCTGTTTTTGTTTTTGTACTCCTTAAACGACTTTTTTGGTGGAAGTTGGGTTAGCAGGGCTTTTCATGAACAGCTTTGTGGGAGGATAAAACAACCTTTTCATAGTTCGGCTTGTGAAGAAGTTCGTTCCATGGACTTCGGCTTCTGGGAGGAGAGAGGTCATATTTCAGAATTTTCCTCGGCGCCTCGCCTGACCAGGGGTCACACTAACCATAGGTTACTCCACTTCAACCGCTGCCACCAGAATCTACAAAAGAACCCTTATCATAAGTAATGACATGGGCAAACATTAAGGTCAGAATGAGTATGAAACTTTCTTGATTGCTCCGAACACCGTTGAAAGAGTTTGAGTAATCAGCCCCAACATACCAAGTGCTCTTTCCGCTTCATACAGTGATGATGCCATAACAATTATTACGGTCGTTAATTCCAAGTGCCATTGATCGCTTTGAGGTTTGAGAGGAATGCTGAAGCAATAAACAGGCTCAAGCTCGAGTGATAGGTTCGAAATCAAGAT